TATTTTATTTTTATTTCTATTGCTACTTTATTTCTTTTATTCATAAAGCAATAATTTGTAATAAAGTTGGTTTAACCATTAACGTCCTTCCAAAAATGATAGCAATGAATGAGTGTATGTTGAACTCTAAACACCTTTTTGTCGATATTTCTCGCTCGATGGAAGAGCCTCTGAATCCCCTTACAACCCAAATACATATGTATTTTTGAGCAATAATTTTTGTTTTGAGAAAAGATCATGAAAGTGTTGTGTTTAAGCTAAGACGAAACTAAGGACATACACATGTTTCACATCTCTTTTCTTCCCCAGAACATTTCACATGTTTCAGAAAACCATATCCGTTATTAAAATAAATTCTGCAATTTGATACTGCTGAAATTTTTGAGAATGTGGGAATATTCGAAACATCAGTTCGCGAAGCCCCATAAAGATGCATTTGCTGCCTAATGTGTCTGTCCTTGCTGTATATTCTGTTCTGTTTCACATTTTAGTCTTCTAAGTAGCTGCATTTAGCTTTCTTTATTTGATATCAAGTCCCCAGGAAATAATTTTAGTTACTATTACAAAAGGAGTTAATCATAGTACGTTTGTTGGAAGGATATCCTGTTTAATTGAAAAATAAATAGAAGTAAATGCTACTTGAGACTTATTAGATCTTCTATTTCATGCTGCGTGTCTGATATAGCTCAACTAGAGCTTTTCAGCTTTTGATATTTAAGAAGCTTTTAAGAAACGCCTAGCTCTTCTATCTTGTATCTAGAAATTCAAGAAACTGAGTGTTAGCCCCGACCAACATAGCAAGGAAAAGCCGAAACATAGCTTTATCAAACGTCACCAGAAAGTAGAAAGAAAAAAATTTGATGATACCCTGAATTATCAAAATACAAAGTTGCTAAGTACATAAGAAACTGCCAGTCATAGACTGTTTTTTATAAAAATCAGTTTCAACAAAATTCAATTTTATGACATCAGATCTTAGGAGAGATAAACACAATAGTTACCCTGGCTACCAGAGCCTGGGTAAAAGAGTGGACCGGTAAGAGGTGCAAGGCCGTGAGGTTCTGGTACCCAGGATACACAGTAGTATGCAGATCCAGTATTAATTTATTCGTGTCCTTTATTTTAGTTATGCATTGGTTAAGCTCATAAGTATAAGGAGGTTATATTTTAAGGAACTGTTTGCCAATAAGTATCAGATGGACTTTCCTTTTCCTTGACAAATAAGCTTCTCCTCAGATTTCTATCTGGCCGTACGACCTCTAATTTTTCTTTGTTTTTGCCAAGTTTTCCAAGTAAAGTATGCACAATACGGCATTTGATAAACACGGTGTCAAGCAAAACCACAGGTAATTCTGATTAACCCCCATGGGCGCTTAATCGAGAAAAGCCCATGATAAATAGTTTATTTAGCGGATAGCAGATGATTATAAAAGCTAGAATCAAGGAAGCGTTGATGAAAAGACCGCTGAAGGCAATGAAAATATTTTTAGTTTTGGCCTAAAATAACTTGTGCTTTGATTTATGCTTGGTTTGATATTTTAGAAAATTGTTAAGAAAAATTGCAAGCGAAATGTACTTTAAGAGTGTGAAAACGCTACAAAACGAGCTATTTCTATGGAAATTTGGGAATTTCTTTTATAAGCCCCCTGGTGTTAGAGACCCTCCCATGAATAAGCTTCCATCCCAAAATGTCATGAATTAGTTAACCGATTCGAGGATTCACGGTAAGGGATCTGAAAGCCTGAAACAGTACAAACTCGCAACTGTCCCTTATACTTAAAGTAAGGATTACAATTTTACGCTATCTTAGTATAGCTTACAAGAAGAAGCAGACCCCCCGTATTGACATGTTGTACTTTTTGGCAAATTTTAGGTTACTTTCGCATGACTTTCTCATGAATTGACGTATGTTTCAAGCTAATAGCATCGGGTATTTAGCTCAAGATATTTATTTTTTCGTATAACAGAAATTCCACCGTAGAGATATCGACTCGAATGGATTTTGATATTTTATTTTAGACACGCATTCAGCTGCTTACCGGACTGAATAGCGACAGAACATTTCTCTTTTGCCGATTTAAGATTTAGGATACAATGAACTAGTGATTTGACGAAATGGTCAATTTTTGATTGAAGATAGCTTAAGCCCCTATTTGTATCTGTCGATTGCCTTTACTATATGCCAGTAAAACAAAATATGGTTAAAGTTGAACCATTAACATTACAATATGACAGCCCTTTTGATTTCGTGACCTAATTCTTAAGGATTGAATTTTTTCGTCAAAAACAATATTTTTGAAAAACAATTCTTTCAAAAATCCTTTTATGCATCACTAGTCGATTTTGTCATCACCAGAACACATAATAGTTTTTCTGCACGCTGGCTGGCACTATCTCGCATGCAAATGCTTGTTGTATACTAGTAGTCGGTAGAAGCATCATGGTAGAAGCAGTGAGAACTAATTCGTTTCTTTTACGAATTATATTCAGAAACCTATTAAGATACGATAAGAAAGCTACCAAGGCGTTTTATTGAATTCCATGACAGACCTGGTGCCAACTACAACGCGCTAAAATAAAAAGAAGGCGTATCGACTTGACACCCACAGCGAGCACTGGGCACGAGCCAATCCTCGTGAATGTTTGAGATATAATTTCTCGCTTGTATTCGCTGGATATTGAAATCAAAAAAGCTCAGACGTCATAAACTACTAAAAAGCGGAGGAATCTGACTGTGCCTGGTTACTCAGTTTTAAGAAACAGAAACGAAAAGCAGGGCCGACGCTACTGTAGGGCCAGGGGGTTTTGATGCCCCCTTGGCAAAACATTTCATTGTAAAACGAGGAGTCTTTTGACATGTAAAGCTGCTTTGTCGGCAAATTTTCGCACTCACCCAATCTGTCGGCAAATGGATCTGAGCACCCCCCCCCAATCCCACCCACCCCTGACCACTCCACCACGGCCCTGATAAAGAGATGCCTAGGAAATAAAGAGAAAGTCTTTGTCGAATCGCATTCCTCTGCCTCATTTACATTTAAGGAAAGGCATGCCATCCCATCAGCTAAACAGCAACTAGAAATTATTGTTCTCCATGCTGTTACAAACGATTTAAAGGACTCAAGATCTGAAGTTGAAGTTGTTTCGAGCATTGTTAACTGTGCAAAATTCTTGTTGTCTAACCAAAAACAGCGTGGAGACTACGGAATATGTCTATGACTTGCGTAACAGATAAAATCACGTTCGTACGACAAGTATCACGTAACTTAGTGAATATTTTAGAGCAATTTGGCAGTGCCTTGTTTGAAGACCTTAGTTTTGCAAATAGAGTTTTGCATGTCTGCAACTCTGTGAGATCGAACTAAACTGAGCTTTTTGAATAAGCAGGACGGGTCTCTAACCATCAGGTGTCCTCGACTGGATCTTCTTCTCTATTGCATGACAACGGCATTTTGAGATTTTAACAGTCCTCTTTTTCAAATTGATTGATTACGAGTGTAAATCATCAAAGCTCCTGCTATTGGTGAAATCCCATATTCTTTAAGATATCCCATGGAATTTGATCCAGCTTTTTCCTGAAAGAATCTTTTTTCAAATGCGTATTTTCAAGCTGAACTTCTTGAATTTAATTCTTTAACAGATGATATTCGTCAGTCCAGGACGCAAGGCGCTGGGCGAATTTAAACAAAACCTACTTTGAAAAACAACACCAGATAAAAAAATTAAAATGCAGTCAGTGACTCACTATTGCCTTACAAATATGCAATACAAATATTGAAGATAATGAGCATTTTCTCCTCAATTTCCCCTTGCTTAAGAAAATACGTAATAACCTGTGTCACTAGCTTTCAGAAATTCCTGGACTAGAGCTTGATAATCTTAGCTTCATGTACCAAAAAGGGTCGATAAATTATACCAACTAGATGGAAGAGTTTATAGGATCAAAGAAAGCCTCTGAGGCTCACTGATATAGGGTTTCTGATAAAGTTTCCAGACAATTTTTTAGTAGTTCAAAAAAAGAAGAATGGCTTGTAAAAAGCAAAAGGTTTTGAACATTGAACAAGTCTTTGCCTTATGATTACATATATATAGTCATGTGTTTTTGGTCTCTTCTTTTTCTCATTTGTCACTTTTTCACAAATTTTATTTTTTCTTCCAATCTTTCATCAACTTTTACTTCCATTTCATTCTTACTTTTTCTTTCATTTCTTCAACCTCTACTTTAACTTATTACTCTAATTCTTCTTCTACTTGTTCTTCTGCTTCTTCTTTTTTTATTTTTCCATTTCTTCTTCCACTCATTTTTTCTACTTTTTCTTCCATTTGTTCTTCTACTACTGCTTTTTATTGCTATTCTACTTCTTTTTTCTACTTAAGCCCTAATCTCTTTTCTCAATCATGTTCTTCTTCATGATACCTTCTCATTTGTTATCAACAAGTTCTTCTGACTGCTGTTTGTACGCTTGCTGCTTGTACTGCTTGATGTACCACAACACCAAATGTCTTCAAACAGATATTTTGCGATATCACCCCCATTGTAAAGTTGGTCCACCCAACTAATCTTAGATGTCTTCGAGATCACGCCATTTGGAATCACTTCAAGTTGAGGCCACTTCAAGTTGAGGCCACTTCAAGTTGAGGCCACTTCAAGTTGAGGTCACTTCAAGTTGAGGCCACTTCAAGTTGAGGCCACTTCAAGTTGAGGCCACTTCAGATTGTGAAGTTGACAAGGCTCTTTTTGCGAATGTTTTATGGTCATAAACAGCTTAAAATAACTGCATTCAAGCTCGCGTGGCTGCAGTTCATACCTTTGTTGAGCGAAATTTTTATTAAAACCACGCTACTGAATTCTTAAAAATAAAAATTCACTAAAATTAAGAAACATGTTAACTTTTTGGCTTTTTCTTGCTTTTTATGGTTTTTAGAACGATATATATGTACCAAACAGCCTCTTAAAATTATTTCAAAATGTTTTTTAATATTTCACGCTTCTGCTTTTGTAGGTTGCAACCGATGTTAGGTAAGAGTATTTTCAACTTCGCTTCTAAATTTCATTTCTAAATTTATTTTGCCTGAGTCTTAGATCTTGATAAATTCTTTTTTATATAAGTTAGTCAAATGTTGCCTGCCTTACCTGCCAAAGTGGCAAAATGTTGCTGAAATGAATTTAATTACTTTCAAGTTGACTGTCAAGTATTCTATTTATGTTTATTCATATTTGTTTGTATTTATAAATATTTATTTCCTCTTTAAGTAAGAGAAGGCGCCTTTTACATGCTTAAAGAAGAAACCACATTCTTAATGAACCATAGCTAATTTGTGTCATTTGCAGGCTTTGGTTAAGAAGTGAAATCAAAGACTTGAAAGAAATGCTGAAGAAGTTTATTGGTACATTTGCGTTTCGCGGTAGCCGGGATATTGATATTTTGATGCCAGGCTACACCCATTTGCAGGTATTTCCAAAGTATTGTAAGATAATGAATTTTGATAATTTATCTAATCTGCCAATGTGTTGTATCTCTCCTTAGATCTAATAGTAGAGCTGAGGAGAACAATAGACAGAGAAACAGGTCATATTCTGAATGAGGTTGACCGAAATCCAAGATGGCGGCCTAAAAACAAAACGAGGCTAAACAATGATGCAACACAATGTATCGATTTGATCTGTTTGGTAGAGTGCCAATCAATCAGCTTTTCCTAGCCGTTTCTATTTCCAGCAGATTAAATATAGCCATCGTATCCTACCAGATCCAAAGCCATGTGTATTTGAAACGTAGAAAAACGTCATTGGTGCGTCCCTAATCTCTCAGAATAGTAGCAAGTAGGAAAACTCCTACACCCTGCCTACCATAGTCTCCATTATTTAGTCTCAGATAAATGGTCAGAAACTAGTCACAGAAAGGTTTCTCGAGCAAAAATACTTTATACCTGGATCTGACAGGCTCTGGTACCCAGAGTAGAAAACTCTTTTTTTTGTATATTTTGACAACCCCTTTCCTCAGCTTATCTACCACAATACAAAAACAAGTATCCGAGAATCATTTTGCTGAACAAAAATTATAATAAATGATAAAGGTGATTCTGTTTGGTTAGCAAAATGATTGGTTAGCACAATGTTTGGTTGATGAGCCTGCTATGTCACTGATTCGCAGTTTGGGTTGGCCAGCTATAGATGACATTATTAGAAGCGAAACAGCTACAACAATGTACAAGTCGTGAAATGGGCTTGTCCCAGAGTAACTTTCCAACTTGTTCGAAAAAATTCGACTCGAAATGTTAGAAAATTGAGAATTACCGATACCGATCTTTCGCTACCCTTACGGAAAACAAACAATAGGAAGAGAGCTATTTCTTTTCGTGGACCTAAGCTTTGGAACCAACTTGAACCCGATTCCAAACAGGTACCTTCCCTTGCCACCTTTAGGAGAAGAATAAAAAACTAACTATGAACGACCATTCTTATTTCGTGGTATCTATCTTCTTACTTATTAATGTTTTTGTCACGGCCCCCTGAAAGGCAGTTCTCGTGGACTGACGGGGCTACCATACTAAAATAATTAAAATGTAAAATGTGATGTATGTAAATGTAAAATCTCTTCAACTCTAACGCGACATCTCACTGATTTTTTTTAGCGAGCGCAGCCTATTCGATGGAGCCATTGGCTATTAAGGTAAGACAAGATTTCATACAAATGAGAATAAAGTAAGAAAATGCCTTGTTTTGTTACGCTTCCCTCCTAGATAATGGCATTTCGTCAGTGTATACACGATAATGCAGTTTATTCACAGGAAAAAGCGCCAAATTATGAAAAATTGCTTATTATGGCCATGGAAAATATGTAAAAAAATGTGCATAAAAACAGAGCAAGAAAAATGTGTTAAATTTAATCTCTGATGTGGAGGAAAACACGAAAAAGGAGAAAAATCAGTATTTGTTACCAAATGCTTGCAGCCTCAAGGCCAGAAAGAAAAGTTGCATAAGAGCTGCTCATAGTCTATGCTTTAATATTGTAGTAGGTTTCAGGGCTTTAATTCCCTTCTGTTCAATTCTTGTTTGAACCCCACGCAATCCAGCGTCAATCATGACTGTTGCTAACGAGAAGAAACACGATTTTTTAACAGTAGAAGTGAAAGGGAGGAAACAAGTGAATTGTTTGGCACCAGCCTCAGTTAGACTGGCACTGAAATAAGCAGGTGGTAGACTTTAGGAGGGGTTTCTCCCAGGAGAAGAACAATTTTTTGGCGGCTTCTTTAGAGTATTGGCCAATTCAGAAGCACGTGCAATTGTTTCGTTGTCGAGAAATCATGTCCCAAGAAGCGATAAATTACCCGATATTTGATGGAAAAAGTGGATTTCCCGCTAAGTAGACAGCTAAGTAAGAGGGTTAAATTATCATCGCTTTGTTAAGTGTTGCAATTAAATCACACGTGTGTGAATTGAGCTTTTGGTTCCTTGAATAATTGATTTAACGCATGCGTGAATCCAGCTATACATCTCTGCCCACTCTTCCCTCGTTGAAACATAGCTGGTGGAAAAAAACTAACATCGTCTAAAATGGTTCATATTCCTCCAAACTTTAGTGTTAAACGGTCCAACGGCCTAGCAATCCTGAATATTGGATCTAACAAAAGGCAATATCTTCTGTATAGAAGCCTACAAATACATTTAAATATGTCGGGAATAATCTAAAACCGAACGAAACGATTGAGACTTATTTTTTTAAACCTAGGAGTGGACAGATGGATATGATTTTCCTAAACGAAAATTCCAGATTTTAAAGGCCTAAAAGAGAGTCATACCAGTTATAGTTTTGTCACATAGATTTGCAAAATATTTTTAACTTCTGTGTCAAGTTTATTGATTTAACGTTTCTTGTATAAATAGTTAGAATTTGAAGGTTCTTGTGACATACACGCAGCAATGTTCGAAGTCCTTTTGGAGAAATCCACAAAAAAACAAGGCCGGTTCAATCTCTGCTCCACAACTATATTGCTAATATGGTTACAACCAAATATAAATGTTTCTTACCGGTCTAAGAAAACCTTAATATCACTCTTGTTTTCCCCCTACCCCTTTTTACAATCATTTTCTCCTCTCCCTCTCGCATATCTCTGGGTCTCGCCCCTTTATTGTCCTGTCTTCTTATAAAAATTTACCGGGGGTAAACCAGGGGGTGCTTAGAGCCCTCACACTTTCATCAAGATATGGAATTCAGGGATTGTGACGTGACTTGTGTGGGTCTGGCAATGTGATAAGAGGATCTGCTTTGAAATTTTTTTCTGAAAACTTGCAATGGAGTAGGTACTGCTGAAGAATTCGATCGTTTATTGAAAAAAGCATCAAGCCTAATTGCAATGAGGAGATGTTTCTTTTTAGGCCAAGATTAAAACCTCATGTGGCTCTACAGAATTAAACAGCTGCAAATAATTCAATGTTGTGCTGCTAGAAATGTCATTAAAAATTTCTCTTTATATATCGGAGTTGACGTTTTATTTTTTGTGGAGTTAGAAAAAAGAAAAGCTCATTGATAATCAGATTAAAAGGATTGTCAAGTGGCTCAATGAAATTGCTTCAAAACAATTAGGTAGCCTTTTTACAAACAACTTTGATTCTCTCCTGTACCCAGAAATATTCTGAGACCGATTTATTGTTGTTGAAAAGCAGAACGTGCCAAAAAGACTTCTCTTCCTGAGGAACAAAGCTTTTGATCTGTCTCCTTGTAGTTGCGGTGGAAGAACCTTCGGTTTTCTTGTTTTTTATCTCCAATTATGTTTCTATCTGAAGCCTTTAAGTGTACCTCGGAACATCATTGAATGTAGTCACTAAATTAAACATACTTCGACTTACACGTTGTTTCCAACACAGTAAGTTCTGGATTGTTTCTAAGTCACTTTCTATTCAAGTTTCTTGTAGAAATCTTGCAGCAATGGCTCAATGGCGTATATGCTCCGTCCTATAAACTTGAATTAATAGCAAGGCTATGTGTTGGACAAATCTGTATTTTCCTGTTATTCTTTGGTTCTTGGACAAGGGAAATTTGCTTGCATACTAGATTCAGGATATTATTTCTGTTTTACGGGTATTGAGAGTTTTGATATTTAGGAAGCAACACACTAAAGATTCATTGTGCATCAAAAATGAAACATTTTAATCCGAAACACCACGAAGTAGGTGACAGTTCTATGGCGCTGAATTTCACAAAAGATTGTAACGGGAAAAATAGGCCTATCATTTTCTTTTTTTGCTATTGAATGCCGAGAATAATTTTGCATAAGACATTAATTGAATTTGGATGGATCAGAAGTAACTTTGCGAAAGACTTATTGTGCATGAAAAATACTGCACAGGTCATTACAAAATAATGAATTTTTATTCGAAAAACACGAGGCGTGTGACAGCTTTATGACACGAAATTCCACAAAATGCTGAGAAATGGAATAAAGAACTATCACTTTTTTGGTTTTCACCGTTGATTGTTGAGAAAGATCTTGCAATAGGATTTCAAAACCTTTGATGGCTTTAGAGTCTTACAGATGTCGAGATGACAGAAGGTTCTCATTCAACGAGTATCTTATTGTTATTTCAGATTTAATTTCTTGTGAAATAAATGCTTTATTTTATAATTGCACTTTCAAGTTCTGCTTTTTGCCATCTTTTTCAAACCTTGTTGCTTTATTAACCTAGTTTTGAATTTATCTTGTCACAATACTGAACTTGCAAGTTAACTGAATCTATTTTCTTGAAATAGAAACATCTGGAAATTTGTGTTAGCAAGGTATTAAATGGGTCTAAAATGCTTCTTTTTTCCGTACATGTTATTAATGCTTTATATGTAGCAGTTCATCTCATCCATATGAAGGTCGAGCTAACAATATTAAAAAATATGGTTTTTTAATCAATTAAATACCATCGATATAAGAAAATTGACAAACATTGTTGCCTTTGTAATTGAATGGCTGCATCATAGGCATTCATTTCTTCTAAAGGATAATTTATTGCTAGCTTGTTAATGTTGTGAGGGATATTATAAATTTTGATTCGCAGGTCGAGCCTGTTGATGTTGTTATATGGCTGTTGTACTAGAAAGCAAACAGCTTTTGGTCGAGTTTATGAACTGCGTAAAGCAGAGAATGAGATATGACTTTTAGTATTTGTTGATAGTTTAGGTTATGTGAGCCTGTTTTATTATTGAAGAGAGAGGAAGCGCTACTGTATGGACTTGAGCCTTCGAAAATTTACGAGTTTTAAAGTAGCAGGAACCTATTGACAACCATGTTTAAACGTTTGGAGTTTCTCGCACCACGCGAAGCGACAGACATTTTATTCGTCTACAATCACGCTTGGGCGCCATTTATGAAACATTTCCACCTAGCCGGTTGCTTGTTCATTTGGAAAATTTTCATCCCACGTCAGTCGAATCCCTCTGGCTTGCCAAAGGGTCTCACCTAGGTGGGCCAGCCCACTTCTCGCATAGACACGTTTTCAGCCTCGCATACAGGGGCATTTTTGGGCTAGGTCACACCATCAGAGTCTGGTTTATCACGTGGGTGGGAAAAAAGCACTTTTTCTCTGGCTGCAGAGCTAGAGAGTGGTGCCAAACTAAAGCCCCCGCCAAACGCTCTCGACTTTTCACTTGATAACGCTCGACATTTTGTCGAATCAAATGTCGAGAGCGTTTGGCCACTTTGTCGAGTGTTGTTGAGACAAATTTGACCAAGTTCAAAATTGTCGAGTGGTAACGCTCGACATTTCTATTGTTTCAGGTGTTGTCGAAGATTGTCGAGTGCGTTTTGCCAGGCTCTCGACATTTTGCTCGACTTTTGCGAATCAAAAAAATGCGCAATATGCAATATCTGAATTTTGCCCGCCAAAGTTGTGTTTATTTTGTTACGTGATATCTTCGGATTTCTGTTTTTTTGTTTCGAATAATTTGAAGATGGAAAGTTTCAGTCAATTCCACCTCACTTACGATGAACGTTCAGACATCAACAAAGAAGGACAGATCAATGCTAGCTCTTCAAGCAGCGACGAAGGGGAATTCGAGGGCCTTGATGACGATAAAGCCAAGAAAATATTAATGATGCTAGCAGCAAAAAATAAGACTCGCAAACGAAAAGCCACTAATTAAACGGAACAAAGAGGCGGAAAGAAAGAGAAAAAATTTGCTCCCCAATAAAAAAAGTGGACACATGCAGATATTTTGAAATTTATTGAATTTTACGAAAACAAGCCTTGTCTTTGGGATATCACCGACAATCGCTCTTCTTTATTTTTGCACCATTCTGTTTTATAGTTCAAACTTTGAACGACATGTTTGGGATCCTAGTTACCCAGTCAACAATTACTTCAGCTATTTCTTATACCTTAATGTCATATGGCTTCTGTCTTTGTTTATATTAATGGTTTCCTTGGCAGTGAATCACTAAAATTCTTTTAGATGTCTTTTGAAAAGTTCTTTCTATCCATATTTGGACTAAATCGGCGGTTCTGTTTATTTGGTCTAAAACGTTCCAAATGTAGTTGAAAAATGAAGAGCTTTTAAGATACTTAAATCTAATTTTGATTAGATTAAATAAAATTGCGAAAATGTTTCTGAAAACTAAAGGCTGGTTTTCATATAACGTATTTCGATGCATTTCATCGCAATTCAGGGTACACGATTTTCACTGTATATGAAAACCGAAAAACGTATCTCATATTAATTCATCGTGATTCGACGTATTTTGTCGGGAGAAACAAAAAAATTTTAATTCTTCCGATGAATTACGATGAATTACGTTGAATTACGTTCTATTAGGATTATTTACGATAGGCAGTTTTCATATAATTTGGCCAGTTTCCATATAACGGAAATTATCTTAATTGATCGTAGCCTCTGAATTGCGATGAAATACGTCGATATACGTTATATGAAAACCAGCCTTAATGATGTCAATATTTACTTGTCACGACTAGCAGCCTTTGAATTGTAATTGCTATAGCTGCTAGGGAAATTGTTTCTCTTGCCGGATAACTTTCAAGTTCCTTTTTTTACGTATCGATCTAATGGAATCAGTAATTTTTTCAGACTTTTTAGCATGAACATCTGGGGCAATAAGTAAATGTTGTAGTGGAGTAAACTTTTTCTTTTGCTCAAAGAAAAGAATAAGATTTGAAAACAACCCTTGTATCAGCATCACTTTTTTTGCAGTCATGCATGGGCCTTGAGAAGAGATTATGACCGACTGACAGAGACTGAGTCACGTGTCAATGTGCTGCCTTTAGGAAGGTGTGTATTGTGTATGCTGAACTAGCTCTATTTCTTGCATTTCAGGTCAGTGATTCAGAAACAGAGTTAGTGGGACAGAAGGTTGGCCAGATCGGTTTCTAGATATTCTTAGACAAAACAATCAATTTTCCCACTTGGACTCGTCAGCTACTTAAAGGCTCTTGCGCAACCGGCATGCTTAGCGGCAGCTGTCTAATGAAATTGATTCTGTTTTGCGTTTTCATACAGTGCAAGATTAGGCCAGTTTTGAACATATAACCGCAAAGCATGCTGGTTGCGCAACATGCTTTAAGGCTTTGACCAGACAGTGGAACTGAACCGATCTTGGTCTCGAATTCTCCAAAGACTAGGGAGATGTTAGAGAATGGTTGAATTTTGCAGCGACACTCTTCAGGGACTTAGAAAATGATGGAAACGCCAATTTTTAATATTCCATGTATAGCTACAATATAAAGAAGTAAAGTAAAATGGAATCTTGACAACATTTAATTAAAACTGACTGCCAAAAAATGGTGTTATGGAATCAAAGCAATATTCAGCAAATGAAAATATTGCGGGGTGTTGCAACCACAACACCCCTGGTAGGCCCGTCCCTGGTCATTTTCCTAGGTTTTTCCTATGAAATTCTGACTGCAGTGCCTAATTCATGACGACATTTCTCAAAACTTGTTAAAATAAAATTTCTTATGTCAAATCTTAGCCTTTTTTGAAGATAGCTACAGAAGAACGAAATAAAATGGAAGGTACGAAAGAATTAATAGAAGATGGGAATTATCTTTCAAATACTCTTTTACTGAAGCCTGGCCCCCTTTCCCCTTGGTCCTTTCGGCGTCCGTGGCCCTACCCAGTGGTAGACGTTTACCAAACACTTAGTTTCCAATGCATGTCGATCAAGAGGAAACCTATTCTTGCAATCATTATTCTAAAAACTTCGTTTACTTAATTGAAGCAGCCTGGTCTTTAGGACAACTGTTAACTCTGCTCAAGTGTTGCTAGACTTCATTGCTTCTAACAGTAATTAAGAAAGTAATGTTTTGTGTGATAGTTTCATTGTGGACCTATTTTATTTTATGTGGCAAAAGCCAAAAAAGCCGTTTATTTAAATAATAATTCTGGCGAGGCCCTGTGGCCCAAAAGCAGAAACGGTTGCGTTACTTTTAAGGAATAATTTGAAATTTGATGAAGTTAAAAACGAATACTGAATAACTGCATGAATTGGCTTTAGAGGTTTTCAAAATCTAATGATATAAATTTCTTCATGGCTAAGTTTAAAATATGTGCCTTTTGTGACTCAAATCTCAAGCGAAAAGGCTTTTCTCTCTGATAATAGTTAAATGTTTCATTTCTTTATTTACAATGCCTGCCAAAAGTCTTAGAATACTGACGTCAGTTTCCAAGGTCAAAATCAATCATCCCCCTCTCCCCCACGGAACAATGTTGGTTTACTATCAAACAGGTTAGGATTTTAGAAAGCACTTTCTTTTGCGCTTCTTTTATAATATTTCTCTAAATTATCAACATTGTTCTAGGGGGGAAGGGAGCGGAAGTAGTAATTTATTTCGGAAAAGAATGAAAGTTATAAAATGCAACGCAAAATGCTGGGTGTTCCAAGTACTTTTGGCAGGTATTGTAGTTATCTTTATTGTTAATTCGTTCTGTCGATGAATAACAAGTAAAACACATTTAGGTAATACAATATTAAATGAAGTTGATATTTAATTTTACCCCAGCTTACAGTGCATTCCTTATAGCTACTTACTTTGCAGCCGTTTATTTAAGCAAAGGCTTGAGAGAAGCCATGTAACTGCCTATTTACAGTGCTCTTGTGGCTCTTTAATTACATACCGATGTTTACTGAGATTGTGGCATTATTTCTTTGAACCTTTAATTTTTTTCAACAGCGGAGCTCTGGCTGGAAACCCTTTTGGCGTGAACAGGCTGTTTTTGGCTAAAGGTAAATACCGGCTTTATTTTCTTCAAATTACGATATACTGTTAATTTAACAGCGTTAATTTAAGAGAAGAGTTACTGGATCTGTTTATTAGAAAAAAAATTTTTAGTTTAACGTGAATAGGTGCGAGAATGACTCAGTGGTTAGGGTCGCTGACTACAGACGCAAGGGTCCGCGGTTCGGGTCCCTGACATGACCAATTTTTCTCCCAGAGTGAGGAGAGTCGCCAGCTCTCTGTAATTACAGGCGTTGAAATCTTTTGGTGTGGTCACACGCGCAAAACTGTTGTCACAATTTTTAGTTAAAAGTTTATTTCTTGCTAATTTAACTATTAAACGATGACTAAACTGTGAAATAGAACAAGAGGCTTGTTTGGAATATGACATGATTTTACCTACTTGCGTACCCCTCTTTGGAGCAAAAGGTTCTGGTAGCATTGCTCATTGGGTAATTGACTCAGTCCTCTGGAACACACCATTGTAATAGCTAAACAAGTCAGAGCAGAGTCCTCTTGCTAACAAAACTGGATACCAAATTCATAATCTAACCATACCTAATTCATAATCTGGCCAAACAATGTCACATAAGAGGTCAACATACTAGGAACAGTATTTACCACACGTTTTGTTTAAGGATGGTTTTGTGCAGGGATGTAATAGATATAAAGAGTTCTGAATGTCATTTATGTCAAAACTATTGTACATAGTATTGTTTTTGTCTTCTTAACTACCCGTTAACATATTTTTCTTCTCCATTTGCCCTATTTTGCTCCATTGGTGCTGATTAGATGACACAGGGTTAAGGGCTCGTCTCCCTTAAATCATCATTAACTTTCTGTTAATACCATTTAGGGATCGCCGCAACGATTCAGTCTTGTTCACTCTATTCTGCTCAAGGTTTCCGTTTATATTTCATCCATATCTTCTCTTATAGTATCCATATATCTTCCTTTCTTTCTTCTACCTGGTCCTTCAATGCATATATGCCCATATCGTCTCTATGTTGACTGCCTTAGCTTTTCTTATTGGCTGTGAACTGTCTTTGAAGTAGGTATTAATTTTTGATAGTTTCAATTGTTTTAACGTCTAAAGCAAATCTAAGCATTTTCCTCTCAGCCAACTCTAGTTCATTTTTCCTTTTTCTTTTACAGTCCTACTGTTTCAAACTCGTACGTCACTTCCGACCAAATCCCTGTATCATATACGTCCTCGCTATGGTTCTTACTGATATCCGTCCTATCTCAATCTATTCCATCCATCTGGCACTCTTTGTTTACCTTTTTGCCACACTTTTCTTATTCTGGGCCAAGTTTTTGCGGGTTTTCAGTTCGTCTTTGTTGTTTTTCTTTCACCAGTTTCCGCAGAGCTCGTTCATAGGTATCCGGTCTTGTTTCTGCTCATTATCAAGTCACTTACCTCAATAATGCCAGCCGCTAAATCTAACCTGGGCTCCTGCTACAAGTCTATACCCTTTCTCCCACTACAAATGACTATGTCACTAACACAAAGCATAGTCCACGGTGGGTATTTTGTCACTTCTTTTCGCCTATATATGTAAGCATCGTAAACAGGAATGGACTTGAAGTTGATCCTTGCTGGAGCCCGGCTTCAGCCTAAAAATTTCTCGCCATCCTACTCATGAATTTCTTGCGCCGCTTCAACAAAGACTCTAGCCCCGAAAACCTCCGTATGTAGGTATAGCTACTCTCTTGTTACACTGTCGTAAGCTGTTTCGAGACATTCGTTAATAACAGTGCTTCTTATGTTTGTTATTCTCTGTGATATTGCAAAAAGAGCCTTAAAGCCAATATGCAGGTGACCGTATATCAGATGACATGAAACCCTACTGAATACCGAATGCTACTTCAATCCTCAATCTTGCCTCCACTCATCTACATTTTAATTGTGTGACGTATTAGGTTTTTGCCTCTATAGTTATTACGGGTTTGTGCATTCCTTGTTCTTATAGATTCTGGATGTTCGGTGTATTCAATCCCTTTTTGATTTGTCATATGTCTGGCTTTATGCCAATGGTTTTTCCGTTCGCACTGCAGTGATGCTTCTAAGGTTTTTAATGGCATATGACCAATATGTTGGAATTAAGAGTGCGTTAAAACTTAGTAACTTTGATTGGTTCTGTCTCGATGCCGAATAAGGGCATACTAATATTATTTCCTTGACGCATAAGTGGACATTTTTCGATCAAAAATGACCGTCAGAAGATTTCAATTTACGATTTACAGACAGAGTAAAGGCTTTAATGCTATAAAAATTATGACATTTAAAAAGTATTTATTTTGTCTTTAGTAAGAGATTTATTTAATGGTAAGTTGACAATCTTGTTAAGCCCATGCCTCTTTTCTGTATGGCTTTGAAGACTATGTGCTTGAATGAGTACTGTCAATTTTTTTGCATTTTGTTTCTACGAGATCGAAACCTAGTTCTTACAAATGATTCTCAAAGCTAAAGATTTTATAAAATTTCGTTTTGCAACCGAGGGTGTTTTTGTAGAATATTTTCAAAAATAAGCTCGGTTTGGTTTCCTAACTCGGTAAGGTAAAATTTTTGGATAAGCTTTCATTAATAGACTAGATTTAAAGAATTGGATGAAAAGAAAATCATAGTTTAGGTTTTTTAATAGAGAAAAGACGTCCATACAGATGAATTTTTACTGTACGGTCTAATGTGCGAAGATTCAAATTGCGGTTACAGCTTTCGAAGTTTTTGTCTGAAGTTTTTTTTAAGATAAGGGGGCCTACCATGAACGTTCAAAGACGTTGATCTATTGATAAAAAGTTGCACGATTTTTTTGCTAGAAGTTCCGATTTAATAATACTTCAAGACATCAGCTTACTTATGAAGCTTATTTTTCAAGTTTTTGGTTTCCAAAGCTATGTTAAAGTGTGGTAAACATGTTATTTTGGGTTTTATGACAACTCTTTGACTATCAGAGGCGTAGACTGCAATCTCGGAAAAAATTGCTGAGACCTAATCCTAAGTCACAAGTGCAGCTTCTGCAATTTTCTATTATATATTGGATTTGTAGTTCTATCATTTCTCCTTCAAAATCATGCATTCCACATTGAATTGAGGGAGGGAGGAAGGTTATTTTTTAAAGGAAGGCGAAAATATAAGCTTCCCTTGGAAAATCTCAACCATTTTTTCCAGGATTGTAATTTTGTATTATGAACTAAAAAACCTTACAATTCCATGTACACAGCGAACACCATTCATTAAAAATTGAGTTCGTACTGCTATGAACAATCGCAATTAAGAGCCAACTATGGAACAGTGACTAAAGTTCTAACTGCAAAATTATTACATTTAAATATTCATAAGGATGCGAAAAAACCCTGTGGCGAAAATATCTCCACGAGAGAAAAATAGTTATTTTTCTAGCAAGATTGTCAGCCATTGGGAAAATTAATTAATCTTTGGAAATTCAGTTGTTTGAGTTTCCAGACATAGAGAGCCTTTTCATTGTTTGATTTTTGCTTCAATCCAAAATAAGCCTCTATGTCTGAATCCTACCAATCGTCATGAAGCCATGGTATTTCCTGTTTACCGGTCTGTCATAAAGTGTCCGATGCCGTACAGGCAGAGCTGTACACTATATTGGCTGTACAGAAAAGTAACAATTCCAAGTTGCTACTTCGAGTTTAGCATTTAATGCAATCATCAGGCAAATATAGAAGCAGATAACATTTAGGAAGTCAGATATATATATCGAAATGATATCGTTTTTTGGATTGATACACAGTAGAAACTCCCTCATACAAAAACTTCATTTCCTCACCTGTGCTTTCGTAGGTTCTTATTCAATAAACATCTTTATGCAATTTGATAGGAATTTTAGTATTTTTTTCTTTAGAGGATGTTTTTAGTTTCTTTAGAGTTTTCTGATATGTCATCAATCTAGTATAAATCTGGTATGTCATCAGTTCTTTAAACCTTTTGTCTGATTCGCCCACTTTATATGTTGGTTGTGTTGGACTACTAACACATGTACAATACAATTCGAATACTAAATAGAGATTGAAATTGTCCTTCGTCATTTGAACAAGAACTTTTTTGAAAAATAATGAATAATATAATATCTATAAAACTAGACAGAAATGATTTTTTCTAGCCTACAGGTTCTTATTGAATTTATATTCAAGCTTAGTTCTAATTCAGCTTTTTGTTGTTCTGCAAGCATGCAAGAAAAGGGAAACATTTAAATTCCGTAGTTCATTACAGTTAATTTTTTCATACATTACAGCGAAGGTGTAAGTAAGTTGTGCAGTCCTTGTTTGTTTTCATAATCACAGCGAACGTAAGGACTAAGAAACTAGGCATTTCTTGAAAAATGATATTATTAACCGCGCCAGCATAGCAAAGTGCCATTTTTCACAAATGACTCCTCTTCAAGAAATCCAAAATGCAAGCGTGTAGTTCTAGCTAGACAGATGGCAGATCGTCTTCATGATTATTATGATTATTCATTGGATACAATATTTACCCGTTTTTCTCGAAGAAATTGTCATTAGATAGTCACTGTTATTGGAGGGTAATAGAAGTAAGGAAACTGGCTACTGTAAGGTAATTTTCAAGTCATGTACCGATCGAGATATGGCATCCTCTCTATATAGATATTTGGAAAATTTATTCTAAATCATACCTCAATGTACTGGCGTAGTATTTTAGAATTGTGTACCTGAATAAGAAAAAGTTAGTTAAATTGTTAATTTTAATTTAATCCTATTTACACACGATATTCATTCGGTAAAAAAGGTTATAATATACAATGTAACTACATTATACTAAAAATTGATAAGGTTACTAAGAGATTAAAACAAAAATTGCCTGATCTTCCATTGATTCGTGCCGAGGTGATTTCTATATGATTGAAAGGTGAATCTTATTTCTTTTTAAATCGCGCGATGAAATTGATACTCTAATAGATTGTGATATATCGTTGCCAAGCAATTGGACCATTGTACAAAAACCTTCTTTCGGTGTACTTATTTATTAGTTTTTGCACATGGAGATACTTCTTATTCCTTGTGTTGGATTTTGATTTGGCAAACCTTTTTGATGAACTTACTTTTTAGCCCTTCAGGAAAGAGATGATTGAAACTTTTATAAGTCATGACTGCTCGGTCAAAAGTCATCAATTGATCTGGGTTCACGAGTCTCTTATTCAAAGCATCCTCTATCTTTGAAGATTCTCTTAGATCAAATGCTCTGTTCTGATATAATTCCAGAGTGCTTGGTTTGGTATCAGAGAGGGCTCCCCATACCCAGGGGCGGATTTAATCAATAATGATTGGGGGGGGGGTGTTAGACAATAATTTTGGTGCCACACCCTTCAGGTCGCTGGTAAATGATGGAAACGCCCATTTTTTAATTCCGTTTTTAATTTTAAGGTAAAGACGATAAGAAGCAATGGCGTAGCCAGGGTTGGAAGATTGGAGGGGCAAAGATGAGTAAATCTTTGCTGATCAGACTCTAAAGAATTTGAGAAAACACCCCATTTTGTAAATGCGTTTGGAAAAGCTATGGCTTTTTTACGTGGCAATTTCGCTTTATACAACGTCATATGTAGCTTTTTGTGGCTGACCCCATTCTGAAACTGTCTATTTCCTTCACAATTCCTCTAATGTTTATATTCTGAATTGTGTAGGGCGCGGAAGCTCTACGTGTAAAAACTGATTTTCTAAAGTTCTGATCAAATATTTAAAAATAATAAACAGTTTACAAAAGTTGCAAACTAAGTCCGTTCTCCTTTCCCCGACAAGCATTTCAGAATCCAGTCTTTAGCTTTTTAGCTCCTATTTTATCGAAATTGTCTAAAGAGCGCGAAGGACATTTCTATATAAACCTCAAAACGTGAATAAATTGTTAAACATTCTTAAAATACATTTCAGAATCTTTCTCACAATCATTTGCTTGCAGTCTTTCAAAACGCTTTAATTTTGTCTGAAATATAAAGTAACCCCCCTAAAGGTACTAATTCTATTGCAGATTTGCACTTTTCTCAGACATCGACTTTCTGGGCGGCCGCTCCCAGTTGGCGTGGGCCCTGGACAATCTGTCTATTGCTCTATTCTCAGTCTTCTATATCTCTATAGGTATATCTCTGACATTTGAATTATCGATTTGATAGTTACTTTGATTGTGACTAGCACATGTTGAATCTATGACCAACAACTCGATGGGATGGGATGGCATAAAAACTGCCACAGCTCCCATTGAACCTGTTCCAAACAGCGATGTAGCTTCAGAAACGCATTGAAAATCACAAAAAATTGTCGCTAAATTCACATATTTTCATGCGTCATCGTTTTTTAATTATAATTTTATAATTACTTCATAATGATAGCACAGAGAAGAGTTTTTTGATACATGTGCTTTTGTATTGCAGCTGCTGCTGTGAAATAGGCTTACTTCTCAAGAAGTGTCCTCTTCTAACATGTGATAGTACAGATTTTACAATAATTTGACTAGATTATTCTTGTTTGTTACAATCGAGTGTTGCCGCCCATTACTATCTTAAACGTTACACAAAAAACTACTTTTTCGTGTAACTTTAACATTTTGCTGTACCAAAGGTTTTTGCGCAGTTTTTGGTCATTTTTAGTGATTTTTGGTCATTTTTAGTGATTTTTGGTCATTTATAATTACTTTATGGTTCTTTTTGTCATTTATAAATATATTTTGTCATTTGGGGTTATTTCTCGTCAGTATTTTTCATTTTTTGCCATTTTTCGGCCTTTTGGTCATTTTTTCATTTTTGTTGGTCACTGTTTGTTCTTTGTGGCTACTTTTGGTCATTTCTGGCCAATGTTTTGTTAATTTTTTGTCATTTTTATCTTCTACGTGCTGTTCATTGTTTCAGAACTTGGATTTCCAAAGGTGACTGAGAACAGCCTGGATGGCACTAGTGACCGGGATTTCATATCTGAGTTCCTCTTTTGGGCCTCGCAGACAATGATCCACCTAAGGTAACCACGTGAAAAATTCAGTTGCTAAATTTTCTCAATATTTACATTTTTACAGCATCCCCTTGCATTATCAAGGTACTTTGTATCAGAAAAATAAAAGTGTAAATATATGATAAAACTATTTATTTTCTTTTACAGCAGTCACAGTTTATTGAATTGAAAAGATAATAACTGTTTTTGTTTCTTGAAGAAATTTGTGTAATTTAATTTTGGGATTTAAGGATTGCTACTACATTGAAAAAAGAAAAATTAATTTCTCCTAGGTAAATTAGGATTAAGAGTGCACTAGGTTTTCTGCTGAAATAATCTTATTGCTACTAATTGATCTAAGGCAATGTGATCAAACATTTATTGATCAATAATGAAATGCCTAATCATTACAGCTGCATTCAATTCGGCCCAGGTCAGGCTATCTCAGGTCAGGCTACTAGTCCAACTTGGTCCAGACTATTACCCCGACTTTGCTCAAGCTATAAGTCCATCTCGGCCAAGGCCAAGGTTTATTGTTGTTTATTCTCGGCGTATTGCGGTGTCTCATATTTGCTACATTTTTATCGACTTTTCGCCGCAAGAACTCCTTGGAGCCCGTCGAGCAGCCTGCTACAGTGGCCTTTTCTTCATTCACACAAGGCTATTATCCCGATTCTGCTCAGGCTATGAGTCCAACTCGGCCCAGGCTGTCCGACCGACTCAGGTCAGACTATTTGTCTAGCTCGGCCCAGGCTATTAGCCCGACTCTGCTCAGGCTATTAGTCCAACTCGGCCAAAACCAATGGCCCGACTTGGTCGAGGCTTTTAGCCTGACTCGGTTGAGGGTATTTGCCCAACTTGCTCCCAGGCTATTAGCTTAGCTCCTCCCAGCCTATTAGCTTGACTCTGCCCAGGCTTTTTGCCTGACCTGGACCACAATTTGATAAAGCTCAGATCATGCTCCACGTTTTAGGTTTTTTTATTTAATCGTTTTAATCATTTATGTTCAAATAGCTTTACCTTTAGGAATACTTTCTTCTGTAAATAATTTACTTCTTTCCTTATACCTCTTTAGCAAATGGGCAGAAGATTTGATTATATACAACTCAAAGGAGTTTGGTTTCGTAACTCTTTCTGATGCATACAGGTGAGAGAAATGGTCTTAATGCTTGTTCTTTCTGTGTCCTGGTCTCATTGATTTTATTTTGTTTGATATATAGATATACTAAGGATTGTAACCTTAGATCATTTCATATATTTCTTAAATTTATCTCTGTTGCTAATAGTAAATTTGAATTGAATTGAACTGAAAATAATTGAATGTCTGTGATTTAGCTATTTGTATTAGTTCTTTTCAATTTCGTAAAGCTGTTTTGTACATTATAAGCAATATAGGGTATACGTCCTTTTCCTCAATTTTCACTACCTATATTCCGAGGGAATATGACAGAATCAACAGTGTCAGATGTAGTCACAAAACGGAACTCATTAGTTGCTGGTTATCCCCTTTTATTAAATTATTTAAAAAACCCAACGGCAAGAAACTGCACTTGCAACCATCTGGCAAAGATAAATCTTCCCCAAATTGCTTTTCATTTGATACAAACACTGCACCAAATTGATGCTACTAAGGTCATCTCAGTTTTTTAATTCAGTGCATATCCGTGTAAATGCAAGTACATAGTTTGATAAATCCTCTTACCTTGCAGCACCGGCAGCAGCTTAATGCCACAGAAAAAGAATCCTGATAGTTTGGAGCTTATACGAGGAAAATCTGGCAGGGTTTTTGGAAACGTAATATTACTATCGTTGATTCATTTATGACAAAGTTCCTATTGATTCTTTTACGAAGGGTTATAAGAAATAACTTCACAAGGTGATAATGCTTTAGGATTGATTATCCTCAGTGTACATACATACTTTACTAAGGAATTTAGAAAAATTTCGTATCGTAAAGGTGTTTTTATTGTAAGAAGAACTGGTAGTATATTGTGATAATTCAGGAAAATTAGCCAAGTGTTATAATGATATATAAAGATAGCCTAAAAATGGCTTGGCAAAACTAGCAAGGAGTTTCCATTCATTGTGATAGACATGATATTACGATCCACAGTTTTTATACACTTCCCATTGTATTGTGTCCAGCTAACCCAAAAGTGTTAGACATCATATTGCTAATGATCCTTTAAAATATTTTATTTAAGAATATTTTTTTTTATTTTTCCAACAGTGTGCAGGTTTTCTCATGACGTTGAAGGTAATTCAATGCTTGATGTCATTTTCTATTCTCTTATAGTAATGAATGGTTTTGTCAATTCTAGAGGGGGCTGGAGTTCTAGAGACATCTAAGGGGCCTAAATCATGAAGACATTCGAGACCTAATGTTATTAGGGCATTTCAATGCAAAATACTGCTAGGTTTAGCTGCCTACGAGCTCTGGTCTGCAATTAATGGGTCTGATATTTTTATATGAAAAATGATCGAGATATTGCTCCAAATAATTTAGTAATGAATAATAGCTTGGACAGGTCGTTGCTCTATTGAGAATAGGGGGCCACTTTCCAAAACCAAAGCAGTCATTTTTAGTTTGCTGGTGTTTAGTTCAAGATTCTGTGTAGATTCTAATGAAGAAATGTTAAATGTAATGTAACGATACTAGTAAATTTTTATACAGAGCAGAACTTTTCTGTGTGATTTAAGTACTGCTACTACCAATAAGAGTCATTTACAGCTCACGATCTTTCTTAGAGTTCCGTTGCTCAGTTCTCGCGGAATTGTACTGTTTGACGTATCAATGTATACCTTGTAATTCAATGTAATTCTTGTTGCTTGAGTGCAGCAGGGAGATATACTCTTGAAATGTCACTCTTTACGTTTTAAACATGTAGGCCCTTATTTTCACCCATAAAATTGAGTGTATAAATTTGTTTTTTTACAAAGGGTTTGCCAAGTACATACAACAAGGATCTTCAGGCAAGTCGCTTGAGCTTCAAAATATTCAACTTACTTTCTAAGCCTGCAATAGCAATTAACACTTTCTTTTCTAACAACCAGATAATTTTTGCCGAGTTCCTGTTTTTTGGATAATTTGATGTTTGTGTGCGCTTAAAACTGTCCTTATCCAACTTTGATTTTTCTCTAACAACATGCTATCAGTTGTTTCCAAAACTACAATAGAACAGTTTCCACGGCTTTTCTAGTGGTAAAATTAATATGTCCTTATAAAATTGGCTCTTTTTTGTTAACGCTAGAGAAAATTTTCAAAAAACTTTGTTTTTCTTGAAATTTTTCATCTGGGGCATGCTCTTACGCTGTTCTTAGTTTTGACAAATCTTTCTTGAGATAGTTAATTGCCACAGGGTTGCTAAGTATTCCCATGCTCCCTGTGGTATCGTCTGGTAAACTTGTGTATGTTTATGAGAATATATTAAAAGAATCGATCCCTGGTGTTATAAAAGTGGTTTTAAAGGGGAAAGGGGAAAGGCGTTTATAAAAACGGGGAAAGGCGTTTATAAAAAAGGGGAAAGGCGTTTAATTATTTAGAGGCTTTTTTCGTAATTTATTTGCTAGATTCTTTGCTCTATTGAAATTGATTTGCAGTTTGCATCATGAATATTACACTGAATTTTGCCATCCAGTATTTCTTTTTCTTGTCAGTTTTTTTGTCCTGTCAAATAGCGTTGCAAGATTGCATACCCGTACGCAGCAACACACTGTAAGCAAACGCACATTTTCGCGTTACTTAAACTGCTAGGCTGCACTATGTCCCGTCAGTCAACCGTACCGAGTATACAATAGGCTTTACAGCGTGTTTCAAATCGGGAAAACATTGACAATTAGCTGATTGGCTCCGTATCATTTGGTCTATTGTATAGTCCAACCAATGGGAATTTTAATGGCTAGCGAAATACGTCGGGGCATAGTTCCTTTAAATGATCTTAAATGTTAAATTGTCGACGATATTTGTGCTTTCCCCGCATAACCAGAGTGCTTGCTTTTGCCTCAGTCACACTAGCAATGCAACATCAAGCAAGTCGACAGCATCCATAACTCTAGAATTTTATGTTAGGAAGACAAGGAGAAGCTGTTTGATACCGTGGACACACTCAAGGGTGTGATTGCTGTGGCAAATGGGACACTTTCGACATTAAAGGTGACGTCATTTGTTCCAGTCTATTAACTGTTTCTTCAGGAACATTTTATATCCTACCATGTTGTCATTTGATGTTTAGTTGTTACATCCAAATGAATGTTGTCAGAGAATAGAATAAAAAAAGGTTTGGTATAGAAGAGTTGGTTCTTTTCTCAGCGCCCCAAAGGAGGACAGAGCCAAGTCAATTTCTCGGAAAATTAACCATATGATTATCAAGCTTTAACAAAAAATGTTCTGGTTTTTTCTTTAGATTTTGAACTTGATAATCTTTTTATTTTGAATAAGTCCTGCTACAGATCAATCTGAACACAAAATAAAAATCAGAAAATTTAAACCTTTCAAAATTATGCGGGGAACGTACTGATTGCTTTTTTCGACAAATAGATAAATATTTTCCTGTATTCTTTACAAAATATTGTATTTTTATCGAATGCCATATTGCATTTTGTGTGGGTGGCTAGGGTTAAGGACTACAGATCTGGAGTCTGTAGTTTGAGTCCCTGTCTCAGCTGATCTCCCGCTGTAATCGCGATTTCCAGTACCTCTTTATCACCTAATATATGATACTGCAAGCTAAGTAGAGCAAAAGAGGCTTGGAACACCTTCCATGTTCTTTCTATGACGTTTCGAGCCATATTGATATAGTCTTTTGAAATGTGTAATGAAATTCATAGCAGGACGTTAAGCTAGAACGTAGGTAATGAAGTATAAATCAATTTTCAGGTCAATAAAGAAGCTTGTCTCAAGGCGTTGAGTCCGGACATGCTGGCAACAGATATTGCTTATTACCTTGTGAGGAAAGGAGTACGTATGCAACACTTGAATTTCTAGCTTACCATCAATCTTTATTCACGCAATGTTTACTTAATATATATTACGTTAGTGCTGGTCTATTCTCAGAACATTTAATCTACGTGATAGATGTTTTTTTAATAAGCGTACCCAATATCTATGACCGTGACAACAAATCAAAAATCAATTTTTGGGATAGTTCGAGGATCATGGTAGCCAACCTTCTGATTGAAGATGGTACCTGATGATGATGTACCCAATATAGTTCATATCATCAAGTATGTTTTGTAGTTCTCTTCATGAAAATGTATTTGGTTGCAAACAAAGCTTTAAGCAGAAAATGTTTTCGATGTGTCCTTAGGTTTAGGTAATTGCGTTTTCTTCATTTTCTAACACCTGCGCCTTCTTAGGTACCATTTAGGGATGCGCATTCTATGTCAGGCTCTGTGGTCCGACTTGCTGAAGAAAAGCGGGTGCCTATTTCTGATTTGGAACTAGAGGATCTCAAATCAGTCCAGTGAGTCTTTACTTTGCCTTGATTCATTTCTCTATACCTAATATCTTAAATAGTAAGATTTTTTTATCTACAAGTTTTCTTTCACAAAGTAGAATTGGTTTTTGCCTGATAGTTTGACTTGAATCGAAGTTTCGAATATTTGAATCGAAATTTCAAAACATTTTCCAAACATGTTGATACAATTAACTATAGTGCTTCTGCTCTTTCTCCTTCTTTACTTCTCAAACTGTTACCGATTTGTGTTCACATCTTGGTTTTACCATTACATATAAAACGATACTCTATTGCTAAAGAATAAGACTACAACTAGATCTCAATGTTAGATGAAATGAAGTTATTAGATATTTACTGATTTCTGTACATGATTTCTTCGAGTAAATCAAAATATTTTTTACAACCAAACCATTTAACTGAAAACTAAGAGCTTTCTTCACGGTTCTTGAGCACCATGACTTGATTCGACGGCATTTGGGAGGCACCCTCTCTTGTTGTTAGATAGACGAACGAGGGAAGATCTTCAAATTTACAAGCCAAATCTTCGTCCTGGAGGCAGAACACGTGCGTATTTGACTTTGTTCCATGCGCAGGCTCTTTGACTCCAACACGCAGGGTTTCCACACTCTCTTTTTCGCCTCCCCAGCATTTTAATCTTTGAAAATTGGCTAGATTTATGAGATTATTTCATTATTTCGTATTCCTTTGTAGTGCTTCTTTTGATGCTGATGTGAAACTTGTTTGGAACTATGAGCACAGCACTGACCAGTACACATCAATTGGAGGCACTGGAAAGGAGGCTGTCCTTGCGCAAGTGAAACTGTTAGAGAAATGGATACACCCCTCCCAATAGACTGAGAGACTTCGAATTAAATTATTTTATTGTCCCTTTTAGTTGAAGAGATGTGGTGTTTCTACTTTCAAATGTAACAAACTGTTTTAATTTTCTTTTCATAACAAACTTATAATTATTGGTTTTGTTATATTTGCCCACAAGGAGTTCTTTAGTGGATAAATGTGATAGAAAGTTTTCTTGAAAGAATCGCAATTACACGTTAAGAATATTAGGTAATTACTCATATTTTGGCGTTAGGGTTCATGCTTTCATTCTTGTATTTAACCTTTAGGTACTGCTTTTGATACCTATGGCAATTATAGAAAAGTAGTTTGGAGTCATGCACGAAAGTTTGTCCCTTGCCACAGATGAGTGTAATAAATTGCTTTTGGTTGAACTTATCGTGCATATCTGGTATGCGCTTTCCATGCTGTTCTCCTCTACCGTCCCCTTTTTCCTTTGGTATAAAGCATTGTCCGATTCATTTTAATTTTCTTGATCTCTTAGAGGTTGGGGCTTATTTATGTCGCAGAATTCTTTTCACAGTTCTCTACGCTTTTATTAAGGATAGAATCAGTTCTACTAGTAAGTTTTGTTTCTCTTCTTCCCTCGTACCTTAGATATCTAAGAGAGGTCTGATGCATCGGCTATCTGGTAGGGAAAAGTGTTCTTTTCTTGCTTTTTATCTTGATTCCACCAAAGTTTATTTGATTAAGACTTAGGGGCTTCTTGGAGTTAGGAAGAGCTTTGCTTCCTATTATGAGAGAATGTAGCCTTAAGACCTAATTTCATAAGGAGTATGACAATGTTTTCTCACGATTCAATGTGTTGGATACTCTGATAACTGTTAAAGTTTCACATAGCCAGTTGCTATAATTTAAAAATCTGCGCCATGAGCAAAATGTGGGAGGCTTGGTAAGTCTTTATGAAACTTGAAAAATTGTGATCACAAACTGAGTCAAACTGACTCATCCCTTCTAAATTCCTTACTTTAAAATTGCCATTCACCTTGTCTCATGGGACCATGAAAATGCAGTAGCGTATCCATTAGGGACATGACCAAGAGAAACCAATTCTCCTGGGTATACGTTAGTTGAATAACCACGTCATGTGGCTGTCTTGAATCGAGTCACGTGACATTTTACACTCTCGCTAGCAATGTTATCAAAACAGCGACGCTTACACAACTGTAAGGAGCACTAGAAGTCATTTCTGGGTAAGTTCTGTTTTTCACCATCTTTTCATATGTCATGATAAGTTTCATTTTTGGCACTATACCGTTTTGCTTCGGTGCAATTAGACGTCTTTTCTTTGTTTAGCGACCAACCTTTCTATAGTTGCGTCGGCAATGATCCGTTTCAAGCCCCTTAAAGCAGTGAGTTCAAACTGAAACCTGTCTTATCGTCTTTATAATAGCTGCTTGAAACTGAGATTAAATTATCACAACCGAAAACAAGTTATGATATTAGCCGAAGCGCCAAATTCCTTGAATAAAGAGTCGTATATATAGAAACGTTTTTGTGTGGTTATGATGCAAAACGATACGATTGCGCGGGAACACTGATTAATCGCCTAGGCCACAGCTTTATGACAATCAATGTAGTTGAGCGTTTTGTTCGTCGAATGAATGACAAATACAAATAAATATAGTAAAGGTGGGAGTTTGTACATGAAAGTTGAATATTGTAACGACGTTTTCAGCATAACTCTTTGCCTGATGCGAGTTTTGATGTACAAAGTCGTACTTTAACTATATTAATTTGTAGTTACTACAGCTGCATGCTGCAAACCTAAATAAAAAAGGAGCCTAATCTCGTGTCTTTTTAAAACTAAGGAAATCTGTTCAGTGAGAAAAGTTAACCATTTATTATTCTTTTTTGACGTCACCATGAAAATGAAGGATTTCAAGAGGAAGCCTTTGTAGTTTTTACGGTCCAATCACGTTTTGAAGTCGATTTAATTCTAGCTGAGGTATCTGACGTCTTCTCGTGTAACTTACGCAAAGTGTATTTTTTGTATAGGAAAATTAAAGTAAATTTCACCTAAGCCATGACTTTGACATTAAATTTGTCAATTAAAGCTTTCCAAGCGCGTAAATTTTTGTGGAATTTTGAATCCGTTCATTTTCGGTTGTGTTAATAATTTTCATGATCTTTTCAAGTTAGGATCAAATATTTCTTGGTTTACAAATTTCCCAAGACCCTTTATCAGGCGTGGAAGTTAAATAAATGATTATGAGAATATATGTATGGTTAGCACATTAAGTTTAGCGTTTTGATGTTGCATTTATGTATGCTTAAAAATTTGGAAAAAATTTAAAAATCAAAATGCAGTTTTTTTCAAGAAACTGTCATAAAGGCCACACAGGGATTTGAAAGGGCAAAGGAAAAACTATCTGACATCAATCTAAATGAAATTTTCTAAGAATTTATCCAAAAAAAGGGAAAAATTGATGCTGTCATTTTGAACAACTCTAGTTGTCCAACTTCATGTGGCACCTGCCTCTTCAAAAGCCGTTCCCTGGAGTGCTTAAAAAAGCCAAAATGATACATTTCGTTATAGAGTAACTTTTTCTCTCTAATATAAAGCTATTCAAATGTACATGGGCTCTGGGGCTCATCGCATTTCACCCATTCCCAACAATTCTCGATGATATCTTGGCACCAGTTATACATTAGAAAATACAAACTACTTTTTCCCTGTAACCCTGTAAAATGAGCCTCGATTTGTTTAAAAGAAGATTTTCGTAGAAAAATCCATTTTTTTGAAAACTCATTCATAATAATTCCTCTAACAATTTCTATTCTAGATAATTAACATTTACAAGATAACTAAGAGAGTACCTCTGAGACAAAATTTTCAACTGCGCTTAAAGTTACTTCGTTAGACACGCGTTAACTATACCGATAAGAGATATCAGAATCTCGAAAACACGGTATTTGATAAATTCAAATGTGTTTGCTCAATAGCTCTCGACTGTAAGCTTGTATATTCTGCATTGAATCTATGTTTAAGAGCTATTCTGCACAGAAAAACGATTGTACGAGTAAAAGAACTAAACAAACAAATATAGCCGATGTTTTCTTCAAATATAAACAATAGCTAAAAAACAAATTCGTTTTACGAATCACAAAAATCACTGACGATACACATTTAAACCATGCTTTCAAAAAAATAAATAACATTGCATTGATAAAACCTCAAAGGGATCACAAATAAGAAATTTATTTCTAAAACGTATGCTGTTCCGGGCTGCCATAAATCTGTCTTTGCCTGCAGTAATAATCCTTTATAATGGAATGCTGCTTGATATTCATAAAGAAAAGCTACTTCGGATACAGGCTACCAATCTAGCCACTGCGATCTTGGTGACAGTTTTGGGCTTATGTGACGCAACAACCTGGATTCAGATCAGTAGATTAGCACCAAGCTTTTTGTATTGCTCGAATGACATGAAAAACTGCGATGCATTAAGGAATCAACAACATCAATAGCCTGTTTACAAACACATTGTTTATACTAATAGATACATACATTTGTTATAGTAAAGAATATGTTTATAGTTGCCAGGAAGATTTGCAAAAAGAGTTTAAAGTTCAAGGATCTGAAAGATCTGAAGCTTCGCTAGTGCTACAACAAACAAACAGGTAGTTTTTTAAAACCAAGCCAACGAAAGTTACAAAAATCGGGCTTGCCTCTCAAAAAAATTTAAAACGATTTTGCAGCAAAACTAGTTGTTTTAGGCAAGAAACCCAAGCTGAGTCACAAAGCTTCTAAATCGTTTACAATTGCCTTCTTCTCCTTTCCATTTCTTCATATGAATCTTAAATTTGATTTAATTGTTTGACTTTATATCACAATGTCAGCTTATATCTTAACTAACCCCTAAGAAAGGTGTGCCTTCTATCCCAAAGAGGCAAGTTCGGAATTTCGAAAGTTGTACCATATTTCTTGCAAACACGTTAGGTCGATGTTTTCTTATTTTAAAAATGCAGATGATCAGCAGATGATGAGTCTCTTTATCTTGACTGATTAAATTTGACACATCAAAAATTAGAAGGTAGAGCTCTTTCGAACTTTTCGTTTTGAAAAATAAACAAAAAAACAAAGGAAAGTATGATAATATAAGTTGCAGAAGGTGTGGGTTACATGAAGAAAACTTAGAACATTTATGGCAATGCGAAAAATTCAAATGACACCTTCCAGGAATGGAACAAATTCTAAAAAGCAAAGCAAAAGGCCTGATCGAGAGATTGGTTGAACTTTTTCAAACTTAAGTGAAAATTAGCCTGTGGTACTATACTGCACATGACGTCTTTCCTGGCAATTCTGTGTTTGTGGTATAGTAACTGCTCCGAAACGGAGATTTGGCGAGATATATTATTATTACTTTTAATGTAGAGTATCAGTCGCATTCCGAAAATATTGAATAAAATTCATTTTTAGAAGCAAAATTTAAAACTAAAAACTGAAAAATTACTAACAAGCAATCAAATGGCGAGTTTTGATTTGGAGCAGCACACGACCATCCCCGCACTCAACATTGATTTTAAACAGCAAGGAAGGGTTTTTAAATTGGGGCATAGCAGCTAGACAAGAAATTAGATAAACCATTTCAATGGTTTTGAGGCGGTTAGGAAATCTGTCAACATAACGATAGTCATGCCTGATGAACTGGAAAATGAAGAAAAATAACGAAATCAAATGGTAATCTACACTAGAAAAGGATACGACAATATTCCATGGACATAAGCGTACAAATGTTGGTATAAATCCTTTATATAGAGCCATAAAACCCTCTGTCTTTGCAGTCTAGAAATAGAAAACCATTTATTGAGCACTTATTGTGGCTTAGCTAGAAAAGAATAATGCGGTAAAGGAATAATAGCTATAAACTAAATGAATACGATCATCATACATTTCACTACGATCATCATTTGCAACTATAAATTGAGTCACTAAATTATCTAAGAAACAAAATATCTTCCATATTAACAGTAACCACCTCTAAAAATTGAGATATTTGCCTCTACATTATGCATTCGCTTTATTGAGCTTGGTTTTTCTTCAGGCTAAATAATCCAAAAGCTTTCTGAACTGATCAAGATAATTTCAAAATGAAGGCTTTGAGCTAAATTTCTGCCCTGATAAGTTTTATTCAACTTCTACAAGTTCGAGTTGGCCTACGTTTCTGCAACAGGCTTTTCAATGACACACAAGGCTTATCCGTTTTTCATCTGTTAGGTAGCTTAGATTGAAAATGAAGTGTTAGAAGAGTCAGATTACAATCTGCATCAGCAGTATACCAAAAACTGGAAACAGTGACTGGAAACAAAACTCTCAAAGTAACGATGTCCCAAAGTGGTCATGTCTTAATGATGTAATGTCCAAAAGTGGGAAATTAGCATTTCTATGTCCCGAAGTGGTTATATCCCAGAATGGTAATGTCCTACAGTGGTTATGTCCCAAAGTGAAAATGTCCCAAAGTAGTAATGTCCTAAAGTAGGAATGCGCCAACGTGTTAATTTTTTTAAAGTATTAAAGTAGCAAAGTCCAAAGTGGTTATGTCCCAAAGTGTCAATGTCCCAAAGTGGAAATATCTGAAAGTTGTAGTGCCCCAAAGTAGTGATGTCCTAGAGTAGTAATGTTTCAACTTGGTAATGTTCTGAAGTATTAATGTCCCATAGTGGTAATGTCCTAAAGTACGAAAGTACCCCAAAGTAAAATGACAAAGTGGTTATGTCCAAAAGTTATCTCACCCGTACAAAACAATCTAATGAATTTTTATATATAACTCCATTTGAGCTGGACTGGCTTCCACTTTTCAGTTTTCTCTGGTTCATCATTCTAGTCTGAAACAAAAATATTAGTTACAATAAATCCACAATAAAATAAATCAAAATGCAAAATATTCGAGCAAAGAACTAGAATGAGATTGGGTATCTGGTGTTTAGTCAGGGCTGTTGATGTAGTTTTTAAGTTCCATTCAACCAGCCTTTAAGTTTCTAAGGTTTCTCAAATACAGCAAAAACTCTCCCTCCTTCCTCTTCCTTCCGTCAACAAGGGCGTCACATCTCGAATACACAGTCCCATAAAATTAAAAAGTATTGCATTTAATAATAAGAGCAATAAGAATAAAGCAAAACTTAGCAGCCATTTAAGCTGGAGATTTCTGTTGCATTCTTACTGATGTTGTAACACAAGACTGGTATTCTCATACCTTCACAACGTCAATTGGGTTTGAAGCTATAGCTCCTGCCAAACCAGCCACTATACTTGCTCTGGACAAATAAAGAATTTTGGTTTGATAAAAAGCAAGTCAAAGATAATATGACTAAGAGAAAAAACATCGAAACGGAGAGCAATTATTACGATGATTGCAATCGACCCAATTAAGCTGGGCTCTTCCTAAAATTCAATGAAAGTCTGTAAAAAGCGGAGATTTTGAAACATGCTTAAGCTTATCTTCAGACATTCTTTGGTTATTAAAGCGACAGAATATTGACCGAAAACTCTAAGTTAGGAAATCTATAACGACAGCTGTGGATGCAAATTGGCTTATCATCAAGAGAGTTTTCGATGAATGATTCTGACGTTTTATGCTCTGCGGAGTGGTTGGAGAACAAGATTTTTTGAAGCTCAGCTTGTAAAGGAGAATACGTACAAACTCAGATGTCGCGGGTTCGAATCTTGTTCTGGTCCTGTCCTCACTCACATTTTCCTTCAATTAGGGTGTATATCTTAAAGCTGAAGTATGTTCAAAATATTTGCTTTTTTCAAAGCCATTTTTAAAATTTCTACCTCTAAAAACTTGTTAACAAATCTGTGTGTATACATAGCATAAAATTAAAAATCGTTGCCTGCAATGGCAAAATATCTGACAGGTAAGAACATTCGGCTACATATTTTCTGTGATTTTATGTAGTTATCATTCTTGTTCTTGCTTGCAGAGATCGAAGGATGGTAGGTATCATTCAAGGTTGGTTTTTAATCATGTTCTGAAAAATGCAAGCAAATGACAAAAGTGTTGATTGCCAAATTGCATTTTTGAATCACATACAGTTTGTAACTAAATGGAGCATGATGTGCAAGGGGCTTGCATTGGTTTACAGCAGAATTCCCACAGCCACAGCATCCAATGCCTCTAAACTACATCATATCTTGACAATGGTGATAATATATACCACAAAACCGGTAAATTCGACTGACAGCACCAGGACATAGGACTCACTTGCAAAAAAAGTAACCTACGTAAAATGATTCCATGCGTTATCTCCAAGTAAGCCAAGGTCGATTATCTTTTTTTTGGACCAGTCATAAACTGGAAGCTCAACCCCTGCTATGACAGATGCTCTCTGAGCAGTTGGTCCAACTCCCTGAAAAATGCAATAATAACAGTGTTTCATCTTCAGATTGAAACAGACATAAAAAGTCATGGGCAGAAAAACCAATGCGTGAGTCTATTGGAAAGCCAATTTCTAGCGAAGGTTTTATAGGTTACCGTTGCACTGTAACTGCTGTAAATAAACTAATATTTTATATTTATCAACAAAACATTCATGAGTCAAATAAAGGATATCTTTGAATATTATTGCTGATGCATAGTAATGGAGGAGGAGGAGGAGGGGGGGGGGGCATTCATGTTCCAATCGAAGAAAGGCCAAAATTCGAAACATAGCGAGATTCACAAAAAGTATTAGCATTTTCTAGCATAGTATTAGCAAACAACTCTTAAACGCAGACTGGGTTTAAATCAATAATCGCTAATCTACTTTAAACATTCTTAATAGCGATTGAATCAAATATCAAGCATCAAATAACGATTGAAAAAAGTCAAAGCTTGTTATGATAAAACTGTTTTCCATTTCCAATACATACAAGCGAAAAATATTTAAGAAAACTGCACAATAAACAAGCTAAAAATGGGAACGTATATTAAAAATTCTCTGTTAAGCCATTTTGTCCATTCAGGATGATTTCGATTTTTTCTAGGCAGCAATCACAATCATGTTTGTAAAGAAATTCTGAAAGCTGGTGACAATCTGAATCGAAAAGGAGTTTGGAATCAGTAAGTCTATTTTGGTGAGTGGTTTTGTTCACCTTGCCATACATTAAATCTGCTTACACAGGTACATACTATCAAACAAGCTGACCATTCGAGCACTTTGTAACAGAAATTGGGGTATCATGATTTGAATCATGAAAAACAAAATCGTCGTTAGCCGGGTTTAGGCCAAGTTATTGGAATGTGGGCAGTAACCTGAGTCAGGAATTGATTGCAACTCGTTATAATGCATCCGTAAAATGATAAAGTTTTTCATCTTTTTGAAAGGGTTGTCAACAGTCGAATTGAACTTCTACTTGCCTTCCATTTCGATGAAAAAATGAGCGCGGGAGATAATCAATTACCCTCACTGGACATACAGTAAACATATTCTGGGCCAAGGTTTATGTCCACACTGCTGAATTAACTTTCTCGTCTTGGAAAGTTGCAAATGGGCCTAATTTAGGCTAGTTTTCGTAGGGCGAAGAAAGCTTTGGCAATCTATCGAGCTTAGAGTGTATTTTCCTTTCTAAATAAATGAAATTTTCGACCGATAGACTGTCCCTTTATTACGTCATATGCTCTTGAGCTCACAATGCATGGTGGAACTTGTATTTTAACATTGCGGCTGTCGTATTTGTTTCTGCTGCCATCGAGAAACGTATTTTGCTGCTCAAGAACTGTAAACAAACTGCTGAATAATCAACACATCAGTACACCTGAACATAGACAAAAAACAGCGATACCCAGATCTTTTTAAGAAGAAATTGGGAGCAATGTACATAGAAAGAGTATATTTATTACACTTAGTAACTGGTTCTTATATCACTACCATAGCAATTTTCGAAAAGTCTCAAACCAAGGAAGGGGAAGCAAGGAAAAATCGAAAGCATGCTTTGAAATCGTAGAAATAGATAAGATACCGGGAGAGCAGCAGAAATAGGCAGAAATTGGGAGAGTCGGCTGGTATAGACGCCCAACACTTCCCTGGTTTTTCAAAGCTCTAGTCCAAGGACCAGTGCCAAGGAAGCTTCTGCAACAGAGCATCCTTATGAGAACAGCGATGGGAATGCCATCGAGCGGAAGAAGTAAAACTTTTGTCAGATTTCCAGGGCAATTTCGGATCATTCATAGATAAAGATACTTCTTAAAACATGGCTTTTTAGTGGATTTGTCAGGATTGACTCATCTGGGCTAGCAGTTTCAGGTAGTGGTGTCAGTCATGCTGTGCTCTCATCCATAGCAAGATAATATTGGTCTACCTATCCTCCCCTTCCATTGTAAATCGGTGGTAATCTCATACAACCGATTTTTCCAGGACACAGTTAACAGGCCTCTCCTGTCTATCAAGTCAACTTTTGCTGGGTATCTTAAGCGCATAAATCCACTATCTGCCATGTTATTAAAAAACTGCCAAAACTAAAATGGGTTTGTCCATACAGTAACTGTTGGCTACAGAGTTTGTAAGACCAAGAAAAAAGTTTGATAGTGTAACAGCTGATTGGCAGCGTAGAATTGCAATAGTTAATTATAGAACATCAGTTGTATGACATGCTGTGGTAAATCAACGGTAATAACCATTAGGCCTTGCAAAGATTAATTGTTCAGCATTGAGAAAGTGTACCGTTATGCAATATAGAAGATATCTAGGTGTATTGTGGGATAATCTATAACCTAACAGAATACACAGGTGTACACTAACTTACTTATTGTACAAAGCCACACAATGAGGAAAGGGAAAACACATAATTATATGCTATAAATCAGTACTTATAATAAACACAGAACAATATTCACACGCATTCTAAGCTATGCATTGTTATTTGCTTTACTTTGGAGAAACCTCAGTAAAGAAAAAAATAATGACTTTTGATTGTTTTGAATTATGTTTTTGCAATGTTTTCAAACCTGAAGGGCCTAAAATTGATTTCATGGAAAGTGCAAAGAAAAAGAAATTCTTACCCTATAAAGCCCTCTGAGCCCTTCTTTACGATAAATATCAGCAAACATTGATAACATTCCCTTCTGTACATCTATTGTTCCCTGGGTATTTGCTTGCAGCCGAACTTTCAAGACATCTGTTGGATTGCACAGCGATGACGATATTGCTCCTGCACCAATACCAGCAACCATATTATATAGCAATGTCTCTTCTTCGGGATTCTGTACAAGCATACCCTTAATGCCATGGTAAAGTCCTATTTTTATTGTTCCATAAGTAGCTTGACGTAGTAGTGCTGGAGCTAGTCCATTATATAAACTTCTTATGCCTTCTTCTTTGCTAATTTTGTACATTGCATGAAGCATACCACGATAACGTAACTCAGAAAGTGATGTATTGATTACCTGCCCCTGAACCTGTAGCCTTGTCTTTGTGGTATCAATTGGGAAGGTTGCTGTTGAAAAGAAATATTTTGCTTTGAATTGGGAAAAGAATTATTGTAGACAAAGGATATAAAAAAGTACATTGACGAAATAAATGAACATTAGAAATTCACACCAAAGACAGTGCCATTCAATGCCAAATCATAAATATTTTCGAAATTTGTAACTCATGATCTTAGAATTTCCTGATTTTTGGTCACAAGAAGATGTGTTTCAAGAAAACAGCAGGGCAAAATTCAGCCATATATCTTAATATGGTATCAATTTTGAAAACTTAAAAAATTGATATATTTCAACGAAATTGACACACCAAATTTGTTAAGCAAAGAGCAGGCCTTTGTATCAATACTGTGATTTTTTCATGGGTTTGAATACCGTATCTATTCGAATATAAGCCACCCTTTGTTTTTAAGCCACCCTTGATTATAAGCCACATTACCATGCAGAAATATGGTTTCAAATGACAGACACGAAAATGGATGAAAACATGACTGCATACTTAAACCAATTAATTAGCATTAAAAGTTTAATGAACAACAATAAAATTTGGCATGGGATCATCAATAGCGCCCAGGAGTATTTCTTCCTTGTCTTCTTCATTATGGCCCTCAGCTTCAAGGAGGAAACAAAACTTTGCAGGATCTGGATAAAATAGATGTTGGAAATAGAACCAAAAGCCTGCTTTATTTAAAGTGAAGTGTTTAAGAAATTGGAAATCTTTCTTTAATGTGGATGGCTTTATTTGATAAAATCAACATCAATAGGACTACTTGACAACCAAAATCACCCATAGATAAAAACTAGATCACTTCATTTCCTTTCTTACAAGTCTGATTCATGGTGATATTGATATGGTATATGCTTTTGTCAAATATCAGCTCAGCGTCAATAGGACTACTTGACTTTTCACCCATAGATAAAAACTAGATCACTTCATTTCCCTTCTTACAAGTCTGATTCATGGTGATATTGATATGGTATATGCTTTTGTCAAATATAAGTAATTGGTAACTTGTAGCTCAGCGAAAAACAGATTTGCAATTTAACCATAAGTTGCACCCTTATTTTGTTGCAGGCACATTTATTTTCAGCTTTTTACTCGCAGGCACAAAATTTGTTTAATGAGCCCTGGTTTCAAGAATGATTTTGAAGAACAATCCCAGGCTGTGGGTACAACTTTAATTGTCGCAAAAAAATTTGGTAAATTCTCAAAGGGTATCTGAGAGTTCCACAGGGTAATTAACTAGCAATTGTACATTTTTTTATCTTTGTTTTCATAATTGCTTCTTATTTGATATCCTTTAATTATCCTTGGTTGGGCACAATTGAGGTGTCACACTTATAACAAAGTGCACACTTATACCAAACTTCACACTTATACCAAATTTCACATTTGCACACTTAAAATTTTGCTCTTGCACACTCGAAATCTTGTTGGAAACTGCCATACTCTGCAATCTGGGAACTAAGCAGGCAAAATGTGGATAGTGGCTGTTGTCAAGCTTATTAAATGATGGTCCAACCCATGAAAACCGACTTTAAACATAAGATGATGATGGTGATAACAATAATGAAGATAATAAAGATAAGAAAGATTATGATTGGAGTGTGACAGTGGCTCCTGCATATGATCTGTGAGTGCCCTAGCAAGGGAAAAGTAGATCAATTGTCTAATAGTAAAATTATAGACCGAATAACCGAATAGGAAAATCCTTAGATACTGACTGTGTGTGACCATTCGGGCGTCGCGTGACCATTCTTGCTGGGAGGGTGTAAGAGATTAAAAACCATATTTTACAGACAGAAATTCTTTTGTTACATTAATATTTTGTTATAAATTTAATTCTACCGATGAGTTCTCTGAAAGTGTTTACCTAATTCTGCTGACATTGAGGCAAAACCTCCGTACAGGAACGGTTTCCAGTCCATCTTTGTCAAATTGGTCCTATCTCTAAACGAAAACACCGATTTTGATTTAGGCCTAACATAAG